AGAACATTTATTTCACTTTGCCAATGTCAACACAAAAAATAGCCATAAGTATCGAATTGGGCTATAAATCAATCAATATAATAAATGTATATCATCAACATAAGAATACCTTGCAAAGTATGCTGTCACAGCTTTGCATTGTGCAGGTTTCCACAATGTTTTTAAGCTTCTTGTGGAAACCTTTCGTAACAGCAACCCCAAGGACGCCATTTTGGATAATCGTTTCCGGTAACCTAAAATCTGATACACGTAACGATTCCGATTTTAAACAGAAAGGCAGAGAGCGCATAGTCCAAACGTAAAGACTCTCAATGGTCTCAGCTAATGGAAAGCCAGAGCACACCCGCCCGCCGGTGTTATTATATTTCATATATAAAAGTTTATGGATTCTATAGCAGTATTCATTCACATGGTAGACAGACGTTTCACTGTTGAGACAGTTTACACCAAACCGGTTCACACCAAGATGTTTCACTCCAATTTATACCAAAATTATTCCGATACTTATAATATACTAAAATAATCTTTACATTTACTAAAAAATGAAATGAAAAGGGGGATTTCACATTTTGTCAATGACTTAAAAGTCAGGACTCAGACCTTTGATCTCTTTATGTTGGCCCATCTATCTTTTCAGATAGTTATTGTTATTTAGAGGATATCATATATATGTTGACTGGATATAATTGTATAAATAAAGTTACAGTTCTTTTTTTTTAAAGCTGTTAATGATAATAATTTATAAGTGATTTTCTTTTATATATTTATATTTTGATATCAATAAGTAAACAATATTCTGCAAATTATCTAACATAATTTATTTATATCTTATTATCTGATGTAATATTACTTTATTCTTGAGGGTTTCTGTTTCCAAGACTTTGGTTTTAATTGGCTGAACATTGTCTAAAAATATTTGAATGGTCCAATGAACAACTGATTAGTAACTGTTGATGTAAAAGTGCAATGTTTATACAACTCATTTAATAGTGATGTCAAATTGTTAGTTGAAAGTCTCAGTGTTTATACAACTAATTAGGTAAAGAGATTACTGTTAACACCTAAGTTTGTTTAATGGGTACTGTTCAATAAATTGATAAAGAAATAATTTAAAAGAATAGTTAATTTTATACACATTTTTCGCATGTCATTGTTTTATATTTACAACAACAAAAAATAATATATATATATATATATATATCATTTATTATTTATTATTTAAAAATATTAATTACTGTACTGGTAGCGGTTTCAATATTCAAACTAGCTAATACTTATAATGTGTCTTTGTTGTTCATGAACATTTTCATTATGATATTTTATTATCTTTCTTGATTTATTATAAATAGAATTTTCTCATGTTGTTACTCTTATAATAAAAATCATATTTTCAGACATTTGTCTTTCATTTAAACCTCTTATCATTCAACCCATACTTAAATGAGTATAATGATATAGAGGATATTTGTTTAATTCAGTGTAAGATCGGAATATATTTCACCGAGTGAGCACCAAAAGGTATATTTCACGAGTGGCGCAGCCACGAGTGAAATGTGAACTTTTGGTGTTCACAAGGTGAAATATATTTCGATCTTACACTAAACTAAACAAATTTTCTTTTTATTATATGCAAAGAAACGTTTTAAAAAGACATTAAACCTAATACGAAATGAAAAGCGCGCCAAATAATAATACAACGTGACGTCATTTACGACGTCACGTCATGAAGTTGGTTCCCAGTACTGTGCACGCTGGTATTTCACTGAAACAACGTAAGGGGCTTAAATTCAAAACAGTGAAATTATCAAAGTGGTTATTTCATTGTTTCAAACAGTGAAATAACCAGTTTTATATCACTGATACATTTCTATAAACCACCGAAAAGCATGTAATAAAATGTTCTAATAATATTATTCATCATAATTATGTCCTTGTCGTAACCAATATTTTTACTCCTAATAATTAACAGGAATTATTCAAAATAAGTGTAGTTGTTTAAACAGAACAAAATTCATTTTTCTGAGCTGATACTATACTGTATAGATTATAATTTTTACACGTTCTCTTATATTTCAGAAAAAAATATACTTTTTTAATCATTCTTCAAATTCACAAATTCTTCTTAATAATACTTTCAAATTCAACAAAATGTAACATTAAATTGAATTTCCGCTTTATAATGAAAATGAATATGTTAACTTTCCTAATAAACATCTAATAAAATGGGAGTGAAACGTCCATACATTTGACAAAGTGGGAGTGAAACGTCTAGGTGTGAACCGTTTTGGGAGTGAAACGTCTCAATAGTGAAATGTCTTGGCAGTGAAATGGCTGGCATTCCATTTACATATATAGTCTAGAACTTTTGGAAAGTTTGTAAATAAAATTAAGGACTAATCTGCAGAATAAAATCTGATCATTGTTTTACATGTACATTTGCAAATTCACATAAACGTTTTAATCCATTTGATATCATTACCGAATGACTGTTGAATTTTCTGTCTAATATGGTGCATCTTTGATTTTCGTACCGTACTGTCTTTGGTACGGAATTTATTAGTTTCTTTTTGGTACCGGAAATGAAGGATCAATTAATAAGATGTTAATAGCAAAATATTTGGTCAATTAAAGTATTAAAACTTATTTATTATTTTTTATATTATTTACATATCATTTAAAGAAATAATTTGATTAAATATCTTGCAAACAGTAGAGTTTTATGTTCAAAGATATTTTTAACCAATCAAGATTCTCCAGAGTCAGCTCAAGATGAAAGATGTCAAAATATTGGAAGTGAAAAACAACAAAGGAAAGGATTCGATAATTTAGTGTAAGATACTAGCCTGTGCCATTGAGAAGTGATATGTGTCGTATAAATGGCCACTTTTTCCTATTTTAAATGCATTACACCTGTTGTCAAACTATATAAATCCTAAGTGAAATGCAATTTCTTGACTTGTCTGGGTCTGGATACATGGACATCATTTTTGCAGTTCGCCATTTATTCACACTTTCAGTGATCATAATTTAAGGTCATATCTAAGAAGAGTAAAGTAGGGAGAAGTGTAGTTTATCCATTTCTAATTTAATTACCAATGAATTAAAAAATATCCCCCAAGATAACAATTTGATAGGAATACTGTATATAAAAAGGAAGTGGCTAGCCGTACGGGCCCGTACGGCTAGCCAAAAGTTCTAGCCGTACGTGAGTCACGTACGGCTAGCCAGGACTCACAGTATTGTCTAGCCGTACGGCACTTTTTAAAATTATATGATAGTCGAACATACTTATGTTATTTCATGTCTTTAAACGAGGATTTTAACCAAGAAACCGCATTTGCCATCGTATGTTTACTTTTTCGAGTTGAATCGCCATGTTAGGCATGACTAAATAAAGTACGAGTATTGATCGTTGTCATCTCCAGATGACGAAAAAGAGCGTTCAGTTGCAGTTGAATAACATCAATTGAATTAGTTTACATATTTTTTCATAATAATTTTTTTTGGTTTTAATAAGTTATTCAACTGCATCCAGGCCACACCACGGGGAGGCGCTCAATACCATGGCCCAAAAATTTTTTTTGTGTGCTTTATGCATCTTTTTTTAATTATTTCATTTTTTTGGTGGGCATGTTATAAAACAATTTGTTATTTACATTTTTTTGGTGTGCTACTTCGCATCTTTTGTGTGCAAATAAGCATCTTTTATAAAGCCTCTTTTATATTTTTTTTGTAAAGAAAACAATATTAAATTTTATAGCATATATATACAAGAAAATAAAACGAAATAATGCTTATCACTTCTATTACATCTTATATTACAAGCAAAGAAATCGTCCTTTTTTTGATAATTTCAAAGTAGAATAACTCTGAGAGTGTTTTTACAAAGTGAGAAAGCGGAAAAGAGTTCATAAGCATTATTTCAATGAACAATGTATTTACGTCATACAGAAATACTTTTGTACATAACACATAAATATAATATGTATCAACATGAAAGTGTAAAGTGAACAATTATTTTCTCTATATTTTTTTTTTTTAAAAATCAATAAGAAAAAAAAATGAGTTTCTATGTCTTACGTTCACATTTAAAAATAAAAAAGTCTATTGACGTGTAATTTCTACTCATAGCGTTTTTATGGCGTTTAAGTTGAGTTTGAGCAAGAAAAAAACGACCTAAACGTCAGCTTATTATTATTGAACATAATATATATTGACAGAAAAAATATTATGTCGTAACTTGGAAAAGGAGACAATAATGCAATCTTTCAAACACTCTAGAAAGTTAACAAGGACAATAAAAAAATGAAAAAAGAAGAAAAACGTTTATTATCTCATTTTCATGTTATAAAAATAGAAATAACGAAGAAAAAAACAAGCTAATAAAAAACAAGAAAAATACCAGCAGTTGTTTAAGATATATGAATTGATTGAATGAATATAAGCATTAAAAAAATGACCTCTAATTGTTCAGAAAGTTGTCAAATTAAATGAGCATTTACATACAGAAACAAATTTTTACAGCTTTTATACAGAGAACTCATACACCAGAGTTTTAAACAGTTCACGAGCACTTGCTGCAATACCAGAACTTGCTTTTCGGGGCAGAAGTCCGGGCTACGCAGTGGTAGTGGAACCAGCCTAGACACAAATCACAGGCAATACATCTGGTTTCTAAATGTTCATTGCATATATTGCAAGGCCATTTTCGTTCCTGTGCAACTTCAACTATTTGTTTCAGGTATTCCAATGACTCGGAATCCATGTACTTGTATATGCTGTCTAACTGTACATCTGTAGCCGCCATGTAGATATTGTCTGATGTGACCACGATATCACTTTTGGACAAGACAGCTCCTGATGTGACACATGCATCTGCTACCTGTTCATCAACAAACCATTTTAACATGATTCTTGATTTTTCACTTTCATCCAAATGAATGAATGGCCGTAGTCCTTTCTTAAGTTTCAGTTTCTTCCGATTCAAACCAATGACGGTGGTTTCAGAGCCTTTCGGGCGGCCACGTTTTTTGATATTTGGGGGAAGTTGTATATGACTTATGTCACTTGAGGGGGTTGAGTTTTCATTGTCTATGATTTGCGAAGCACTTGGGGACGAGGGGATAAGTGGAGTTTCATTTTCTGTATTTAGCACTGAGTCACTTGAAGCACAGGGGATAACGTGTGTATCATTGTCCACATCATTGTCAATTTCTGTGATGTCACTGGAAGTAGAGGGGGGCAAGGGGGTTTCTTTGTGCGAGTTCACCGCTGTAGAGTCACTAGGTGTGGGAGTATACACTATATCATTGTTTGGGGATTGGGTATTTAATTCAGAGTCATCAGTCAGACTTGCCTCGTTTCTGTTTGAAGGCATTTGTCCAATGTGAATGTTCTCACCGTTTTCCCAGGCCGTCAATATTTGTTTGAGTTGAGATCATGGCTATGTAGGATACACAAAGTTACACAACTGTTGCAATTGTTAGAGATAATATCACAAGCATTTATCATGCTGGGCAATTAAAAATACACAAAAGTAATCAAAATATTCAAATAACCTATGATGACAATGTAATATTAAGTAACCTGCGGCTTCAGAATATTTCCCCGTTGAAATTTCTATAAAAACACAGCCATCTTGACGAATATAAACAACCGTCATCTGATTGGTTGTTTTTTTCTGGAAATTTACGTGTATATTTTCGAGAAATAAATTGCAGTACCCCTTTGATTCATACTGGCATGCGAAAAGTACCCATACAAAAGCAGTTGATTATTTTCAAAATTGAATTATTGACAGATTTATACTGGTATGCGAACAGTACCCATGCAAAAGCAGTAGCTGTATTATTTGTTTAAACACTTGATTTTATTTTACTTGCATTCTATAAATGAGCCGCGTCATGACAAAACCAACATAAAAATGGATTTGCTATCAGCATGGATCCAGACCAGCCTGCGCATTCGCGCAGTCTGATCAGGATCCATGCTGTTAGCTGTCAGTTTCTCTACTTGTGATAGAGTATGTAAGCGAACACATCTGCGTGATTAGATATCAATATTTGAGTCGCATCATGATGCGGCTCAAATATTGATATCTAATCACGCAGATGTGTGATGAAGATACAATTTAAGTGTCAGTTCGGCAGTAGGTACAGAAGTTTTAATTTTGAATGTGTTGTCAAAACATGACCTTGTAAACGTTTGAGGATTCCGTCCTTACACGCATGCTCAAAAAATATTTAGTATACATAATTATGAGGCCTGTAAAATGGTTGTCCACTTATACTGTCTGTGTACAGATAAGTTGGCAATACCACGAAAACCTGTTTAAATATCAAAATTTTGCCCTTTGAGTCTTCCTATGTAAGCGGGAAATGGGGGTTTATACTGATTTACTACATAAAGCTTGTACATGAAGAAATGGGTTGAATTCATCAAATCTTTTAAATGAATGTTTGGGATGGGCTGCAACCTCTTGGATTTGAGTGATAGTGATGTTTGGTCTAACTACCAGTTTTGTTAACTTATACATAATTAGTAACTTATCTTTAACAGCAGTATTTATAATTGACATGTAAAATTCACTAGATATTTGTTAGCCTGATACCCTCAAACATGTTATTATAGTGACTTAAAGATTGGTTAAACTCACAACTGTGTGTGTTATATAGGCTAGATGTATATCTTATGTTGCTTCTAGCACCAAAACAAATCCACTGCTTTCAACAGGGCAGTGTGAGGGTGGGAAAAAGATCAAAACAAAAACTCATTTCCCATAAGACGAAACATGAACAGATATTGTATAAGTGTTGCAATATAGTAAGTGGGTGATCACACATGGCATGTGTTTATGGTAACATTGGGTCACCACTATTAATGGCCATACCCATGACTTAAAAGGTATTTGCTAACTTTTCTCTAACTTGTTAAATATTTTAATGATAAACATATACCATGTTCCAGGCAAATATTAATATTTGCCAATTCCAATTGTACATATTTTGTACTTTTTCTGATTTTCTTGCAGAAATTAATGACACAATTAAAAAATGTTTCTGCTAGGGCTGTCATTGATGGAAAATTTTGTATTGATATATCAAAGAGACAAATATCGATGATATATCGACTTTGACAGTAGATACAATGAAAAACATTTGAATATGTTTTATAAATTGGGATCATGGACGTCGTTATGCATGCTTGTATTAGACACTACAAATACTACAAACTAACAGAAAGTTTGTTTTGTCTGTTATTATTAGCTCTGACTTTTGAAAACGGAGTTTCAAGTTCAAGTAAGCCAGGAAAATGGAAAAAAGTGACTCTTATTAGGCAGAATAGAGAGGTATATTCACTAACAGAAATGAATAAATTTTAGCTTGTATCAATATTTGAAAGTGTGTATTGATATTGTACCAAATCATGAATATTGATTATATATCAATATTGCAGTATTCAGTGGCAGCCCTAGTTTCTGCATATTTTCATCAAAATTTTGCCACATAGAAAAATTCCTGCAGGCATAATGGGAAAAGTACAAGAGCTACAATTAAAAGTTAGTTAATCAGCAAATATTTGCTTAGAATATGGTATATGTTGATAAAGATATAATGAAAAAGTAGCAAAATAACATTTTAAGTCTTGGGCATGACCACTAGCAGTGATCCAATGTTGCAAAACAAATGTGACAAGATCACCTGCAAAATACTCCCAAGAGGTCTCTTATTTTTAATGTGAAGTTAAATGAATTCTACATAAATGTATACTTCATTGAGTTGTTAATTGATTTGAAAAGTTAAATAATGATTTGATTTTATTTTCAGTATTGGAAATATATAGAAATAGAGTCATGGAAGAAGTTGCTGTCGAAGAAGCTGATAAGCCAGTTGAAAACTTAAAACAAACAAATGGAAAAGCAACTGATAATGACGAATCTGGTTTTGGTGAGGATATATCAGCATGTAGCATTGAGGACAAAACATTTAATGATAAGATGGACACATATGAAGAGACTGGAAACCATACTGATTTGGAACAGTGTAGTGCCTATAATAAGATGCTAGAGGGAGTAGAAATATCTCAGGGAGATAATCATTTCATGATGAGTGGTTTGAAAAAAGATGACAGTGGTATATATTCTGAGAAATCGCCAAGCACTACACAAACCAAAGAAATCAGTGATGGGGAATGGAGTGAAAGTGTAAGTGAAAGCTTTGAGGACACAAATGTTGAAATAAAAGGAGAGGGGAGTATGCACATTGATATTGACAAGCCAAATAAAATCTCTGAAAAGACTGGTAATAAAAACATGAAGAATAATGATGATGTCATGTGTGTTGAAGGTATTAATAGTAAAACTGAAGATATCGAAATAGAAGACATGGAAGATGAAATGCTAGAAAACATGAAATGTTTAGAGAATGGAAAAGACAATGTTAATGCCATTAATAACAAAGAAAGGCAAGACATCAAAGTAAATTGTGATAAATTAGATACATTAAAGGTTTCAAATGAGACAGACGAGTCAGAATCAAAATCAAGTGGGCAGCAAATTGATACAGATAAATGTGATAATAATGGAATGTCAAATGATGATGAAGATTTTGCTGATTTTGTAAAGAAAACTGTCAAGTCACGTTCTCATGTTAGGAAACTGGTTGATTATGACACTGATGATTCTGATAAAGAAAGTGGAAGTGATTCTCATGTGGTCATCAAAGGCAATAGACGTTACCGGAAACGAAAACCTGAAACAGATAGTGAAGATGACAATGATATTGCAAATACAAATGACAGTAAAAGCAAAGGTAACACCTCAAGTGAGCCTAATGATGGTACACCAGTATTATTAAGACATTCAGTGTTAAATGATGAAAGCGAACAAAATAATGCGGAAATTTCAGACTCAATTACTGATTCTAGTGATGACAGTCTTCATTCTCCAAGAGCAAGACAAGAATCGTCATCTGAAAATGAGGCAGATGACACACCACCATTAAGTGAGTTTGGTCCTCCTAAACAAAAATGGAAAGCCCTATATGATCTGAGAAATCGTGAGTTTGGAAACTCCAATCTTAAGGATCCTGGTCATTTTCGGAAACAGGTTCAAGGCAGTTTGCAAATGGTGAAAAGGTTTGAACTTCAATTCAAAATGGAAGAGCATGAAGGCTGTGTGAACGCTTTACACTTTAACAGCAGTGGTAGGTCTTATTTCTTACTTAATTTGGATAAAATTCTATCCTCAAATCTTACATCTGGATATTGTCAATTACTATACCCCTCCCCCTTTCTGAATATTAAAAAGCAGAATATGACTTTTCTCAATGAAGTAAATAACAAGGTTACCATAGAAATTTACCCCAATATCTTGCTAAATTCAAAGTAGTTCTCAACTGAGAGAAAAAGTGACAGTTGCTCAGTTAAATATGCTAATTTAGTGTTCATTAGCGGGAAGGGAGTACTTGAACAGGGGTACATGTATTTGATAAGAGAAGTCTTTTCGAAAGGTTTTTTATTCTAAAATTCTCAATTGACATAATACATATTTATAGTGACTGATATATTTCCAAAGTTATTTGTAGTAACAAAATCAAAGGGCTGCAAGCTCCGTGGTATTTTCTGCTCTTTGCAATCTAAATTGTACTGTATATCTGTATGCAGCCCTCGACATTAGCGATGGTCCGTTGGTCCGAGACCACCTGATTTTGGCAAGGACCACCTAATTTTAAAAGCAACTGGTCCGTCTGACCACTTGAATTTTCAGGATGGTGCAAGACTCATCTGGGCAAAAGGCGATTTGGTAACAAAAACATGTTATATACTTGCTGTTTAAAATCATTTGTCCGATGTACATATATATGTTTATTCATCTCATTAATTGCCTAAAAATTTTGCTTATGCATGTTAAAAAGGAAAGAATTTGCTTTATTGATTTAGGTAAAAGATTCATTTAAATGACGCTAGTAATGAATTTTATTTAATTGTGATATTGTATTGGATATCAGATAAACTTAAATTTTAGAAACTTGAAGAATGGCAGCTAACAAAAGAAAATTGAAAAAAATATATCTAGTAATTCTTGGCTTCTTATCTTCATTTCGACAATAAGAGATCTGTTTTTCCGCAGTTAAATTCTATAAGGCCAAAAAATTATAAGCAAGCAAGCAACACGGAGGTAAAATTCCTGTATTTTTATTCTGTAAAAATATAAGCTCAACTATAATGTACGTATTATTTTGATTACGTTGTCGACATTTCCTTGTTTTCAAAGACAAGAATAAGACAAGATAATTTAATAATTTTATTAAAAATGTTAATCTGTAAAAGATAATTATTATAAGACGTATCACGTAACAGCAATAAGCATTTGAATAGCAGTAAGAGAATATTGCAGACTCATATGGTTTCGCTATTATGTAACATGAACTGAGAAGGAATTCCATTCAACATAAAATTTTACCTAAATAAGAGCAGCCCTGATTTCTATTTGTAAATGAGATAAAAATAATAAATAACTTTACAACAGAATACCTACTGACTTGCTCTCCTTACTTTCTGCTTTGATGAAAATAATTTATATAACTATAAATATCTGTTTTCTTCAGTTGTTAATAATACAATGTACATCTCTGTGTATTTTTTTGTCAAATTCTGAATATAGTTTTAAATGAATAAAAAAACATGATGGACCACTTGGCTTCCAGAAGGACCACCTAAATTTCAAAGCCAGTGGTCCGACTTACCACCTGTGTCAAGGCCTGGTATGTATTTTCCTGTATAAGTTTATTTTTATATACTATAATTCATCTTACAGGGCACCGAGATGCAGCGACTGCGCTTAGATTTTTTACAATAACAGTTTGAGTTTGATACATACAGAATATTGCATGACTAGAGTTGCATCAAAAAATCATTTATGTTCATTTTTTTATGAAAGCCACACTTTATCCTTGCATATCATGGCTACTTCCTTAAAAAAGACACTTAAAAAAAAAATAGTTGCCTTGACTGGGATTTAAACCCCAGACCTCTCACACCCTAAACGAGCGCGTTACCCCTGCACCACATGGAAATTATATAACAAAAGCCTAAATAAAATCATATACATGTAATTCTAAATTTAGAATATCCATTTTGGATTTGTACTCCTTATTTATTTCGAGTTATTTTGTTCACGACAAACCTGTTGTTTAACACTGATGTAAATAATTTAGAGATGATCTTCTTGCCAAAATAGTCTGACGTATATATATTCCACTACTCGACAGTCTGATTTATCTGTGTACTACGCTCTGAAGTATTCTGTAATCTACATCGCTAAAAATAATTTTTTCATTGATTAAGATGATATGCATCAGCATAATTTGTGATTGTGCATTTATTGACAATTCTATAAGCCAACGCTACTTTTAAACTTTGAATGCCTTGTAATTTATTGGATACTTGTAACAAAATAAAACTATTCCTTTCTTTTACATAGCTAGTTTTAAGCTGTTTTGAGAACTACTTCAAGTTTGTCTTGAAATTCTGTGCCAGAGATTGAATGTCAGCATTGTATTTCCTGATCTGCGATCAGAAAATACAATTATGAAGTAAAAACCCCCAACCCTATTTATCCTGAGAACCAGTCCTAACCAGAGAAGAGATATTACTGAAGCATTTACTGCAGCAGTAATAAAGTGTTAATTTAAATGCTATTAATTTTGATGTTGTAACTTTTTTCAGGCACCTTACTAGCTAGTGGCTCTGATGATTTAAACATTGTGATATGGAACTGGATTCGCAATCGTCATGATCTTGTATATGATAGTGGTCATCGCAGTAATGTATTTCAGGTAGGAAAATATTAGTACATAATTTAACAATTTCCAATTAGATTTACCAACAGTAATCAATAGAATTGTAAATAATAAAAGGTAATGTATGGCCTCTAAATATTTCTTTTACTTTTTTGGTGCTGTTTGGTGTTTGTTATAGCAAAATGTCATAAGGTGTTGATTTTAATCAGATATCCAGATACTCGAAACTTACGGCATATTGTTCCTCAATTTAAGGTTATCAGTATCAATGTCTGATAGTCAATGATAGGGAATACCCATAGTCTCTGATAGAGAATACCCATAGTCTCAAAGTGAATAAGATCCTGAATTTTTTCAGTAACTTGTTAGATATCCCTTGTAAGACGCATTCCCTACTTTGAAATGAAATAACAGTGACCAAAAATGTGTCTTATAACTGGGTATTTACCATATATAATTATTAACTAAGGCAAGTCATTGTTTAACCTAATGGTCCTAGAATTAAACCAGTTCATATTTTTATCTAAAGGTAAGCCACCATTGATTTAACCAAGAAATAAAGGTGTTCAAGGTTTTTAAATAAGGCCTAACAAAAAAAATTGTTTGTTTCCAGTGACATGGTTTTAAAAAATAGGGTAGGTAGGTAGGCATTTTTTTTAAAAACATTTTTTTATATCAAGTGTATGTGACGGAAATATGAATATGCAGCACAAAGTTTATTATGCAGTGTCAAACAAAAAATGCGGCCTGTTTTCCCTCAAAGTTTAGGGTCGCTGGCCAAAAAAATAGGGTAGGTAGGGACACCTGAAACAAACAATTTTTTTTACGCCTAAATAAAAACAATACATGTTTTGAAGGAAAAAATATCATTTAGGGTAATAAATAAGCAAAAAAACAATCTTTATACTAACTTATTACTATTTGCTGATGTATGCCAGTGACATTCTAACTATTTGGTGATGTATGCCACATTTAACTATTTGCTGATGTATGCCAGTGACATTCTAACTATTTGGTGATGTATGCCACATTTACTTCTTAACAAGTTTATTGACATGAAGTAAGCTGTTATGTCAAATCCTGTTGTAATTAGAATAAAACATGTCCTGTTATAATGAATTTAGATGTTTGTTCAATGTAGGCAAAGTTTATGCCATTCAGTGGGGATTGTCATGTGGTCAGCTGTGCTAGAGATGGTCAAGTACGGCTGGCTGATCTGTCATCCACAGGGGTCTGTAAAGGAACAAAGAAAGTTGCTCAGCACAAGGGTGCTGCTCACAAGGTAAGTTGTTACAATATAATTGTTGTAAAGGCCAGTAGTTTTACCCAGTCCCCTCACCTCAATGTCAAGGTCACACTTACTGACTTGTAGGTCAAAAGTCAACAGTAAAGTTTAAACATTTTGTCCAGCCCATAACTCTGTCATGCATCAAGGCATTGTAGCATGATGAATCATTGTTATCCTGGCAGTTGTGATGATTATTTAAAACCTCCTTTTTAAAACCTACAATTCCAAGTTCTCAGTCTCTTTTTGTGGGAATCTTAAAATGCAAAACACTTTATTGCTTTTAGCTAATTTTATACATACATGTACAGTGCCAGACTTAAAATTAACATATAGATTAGTCTTAGAAGGACATTATTGCAAAACTAGGAATACTTGTGTGGCTTCAGAAAGTAATAAATAACTGCATGAAGTATGTTTGAGTAAATTAAGATTTAATTAAGTGATCATTTTAGATGTGTACAATTACCATCTAAAGACTGACATAACCATTTACATGTATATTTAATCAAATCAAGTTAATTTGAGTGCCTTATTTGAGCTGCCCATGAAATATTGGTGAGCACATTTTTGTATTGTACAATGGTGATCTTTTTATTAGAAAATTATTTGATAAATGAAATCAAAATTAATGTGCCTAAATACCGTACATTTCCTTATTGATGACCCCACCCCCTTTGCGATAACAAATGAGAAAACTGAGTTACCAAGATGATAACAGTTAATAAAAAATTACTGTTAATTTAAATTAGCATAAATTAATATTTAATAAAAATAAATGAAAGCTGGTACTTCAGGCTTATATAATGCAGCAGAAAATAACACACAAACATTTAAGCCGCGTCACGACAAAACCAACATAATGGGTTTGCGACCAGCATGGATCCAGACCAGCCTGCGCATCCGCGCAGTTAGATCAGGATCCATGCAGTTCACTTACCAACCCTATTACAAGTAGAGAAACTGATAGCGAACAGCATGTATCCTGATCAGACTGCGCGGATGCGCAAGCTGGTCTGGATCCATGCTGGTCGCAAACGCAATATGTTGGTTTTGTTGTGACACGGCTCATTTAATATTCTTTTTAATCTGACAATCATTAACATTTTGGTTTAAATAAATCCCCCCTGCTAGAAGATGTAAAGCCCCTGGGGCATTAATTAGAGAATATATAATATAGCTAATGTTTTATGCTATTTATAAATGACTATAGTTTTGTATATTTAAAAGGTGTTTTAAAAATGCTCACTCAGAGAATCATGGCTAATCCTTTAATAGCATACACAATTTGAAATAACTATTCAACCTTTACTTATTAATGCTATGTAAACATTACATTAGCTGATAATTATATGCATATAACCTCTGAGAAAAGGGTCCCTTGATACCATTTGTGATCAGTTAGATGAGAAGGTAGATATTGGCTATATAGAATAAGCATAAAGCAAACGGACAGTGTGCAAAGAAGTTAAGAACAAATTTTGTGGATTTTTCTTTTAAAGATTAGAGATTATTTCAGCTTGCCTTGGAAATGGATTCTCCCCATGTAGTTCTCAGTGCTGGAGAAGATGCAGTTACCTATGAGATTGACCTGAGGGTAGATAAACCAAACAAGTAAGTTGTTGATAAGCAAAACAATTATTTGAGATTTTAAAAAGATATCTTCTTGATCACGTCTGCAAAGGAAATGGGACAATAATACTCATTTTAAAGGGTTGATCATAGTGTACTGCCAAATTCCTTGAAATGAGAATGACGATGTTTCTTTTACATGTACTTTATAAAGTTTAGGCCTGAAAATAATGTTTTAAAGTTGGAACTGGACATATATTTTTTGGGGGAGGGGTAACTGTAGGAGAAAAATATGTTTTAATTGTTTTCTGTAAACCTCTTACATTCCATTAAAATCCTGGTCTTTATTTGGCTCGTAATCAGTCTACTTGATTTTAGATGATATTTTTTTCTTTTTCAATGTGGTCTTTGTGTCAGCTGCAAGATAATAAATACATGTACATTTATTTTGTGATGCATTTTTCTATAGATAACTTGCATAATGCTTGTCTACTGCAACTTTAAATCTTGAAAAGAGCTTCTGAATTAATGATTGTAACATTTAAGTATGACCTTGACCTCAAAATTACCATGACCTTTAAGGTCAATTTTTCAAAATTCAGAAAATTTCACCATGATTTAAACTTGTAAACAGATTTAGAAAAGTAGGCATATGTGATTTAAGGTGGCGAGATAACTCAGTTGATTAAACCACTGATTATCACTCTTGAGGTCCCGTGTTCGATCCTGGGTTTCACCCTTGGGATTTTTCAAAGACCCTTTCAGTGTTTTCCACCTACCTAGAGGTGTACTGGTAAGAAATCCAGGTAATCCTCGCATGTATCAGTGCTATACAGTGGGCATGTAAAAGACCAAGGGGTCTATTCAATAAGAGCTAGGGACTGGTTCCTGGACTCCCTTGTATCTCATAGCTGTCTCTTTAATGTATACCTGCTTAGAGTGATCGTAAAGCAGTGTGATGTAGAAGTAGAAGTTAAGAAAACTTTTTGTATTGATATATATATTTTGATTTAATTCAAACTCAGACTAACAAGTATTGTGTATTTTCATACATTAGTTTGCTTTAATATTTCTAATTACTTCATTTATCAGGTTGGTTACAACAAAAGAGAATGACAAGAAAGTGTCCATCTATTCAATTCATTCCAATCCTATCAATTCCAACGAGTTCTGTTTGGGTGGTAGAGATCACTTTGTACGAGTGTATGATAAAAGAAAAATCAATGAGGTAATTATCATTTTGATTATTTCAAAAAAGGTGTTTGTTAATTTTTCATTTTATGTCAAATGTATGTTATGGCTAAGAGCATTGTTATGCTGAATTGCTAAATAAATTCTGCTGTTGTTTAAGGGGACCCGCAAGAATGCACTTTAACACGTCTAATTCATTTCTGCGCACCATTTTATAAACGAAAATGAAGAAAAAAATGTAAGAATCAGCACACAAAAAAGGCAATATTTTTCTATTTTGTGATCATGATTTCTGCAAGCATTTAGAGGTACTGCTCCAACACTGTAGTAAATTAAATCCCAGATGAAAGTTAATTATGACAATTGAATTAGACTTTTTTTAACAGCGGGTTTGTATTGATTTTTTCAGGATGTAAACAGCGGCCTGTTGAAGAAGTTTGCACCACACCATATTGTAAGTGAATGCATGTAATTTGTCTGTTACATCCCAAATTTATATAGAGAATTGAAAGGTTGATGGTTTCACATAAATATTAATGTATGTCTGAAAGGGCATCCGGGGGCGAGTGTTTAAGATCGTTGACTTCAAACCACATTTCCTCACCGCTGTGGGTTTGAATCCAGACAGGGACTTTGGATTTTTTCATGGGAGGAAGCTATCCAGCTAGCTTACAGAACGTCTGTGGTTCTACTCAGGTGCCTGTTCATGCCTGAAATAATGCACGGAAGGGCACCCGAGGTCTTCCTCCACCAGTAAATGCATTTTGAGTTTTGTTACGGTCTTCCTTTATTTACAGAAGTATCAAAGATTGTAAAGGTAATTTAAAGATATAAATTGTTCAATTTGATTAATTCAGAATTTATAATTGAATAAAACTTTGAATCTTGTAAAGTCTTATGGATGTTTGTAAGAGACTGGCATATATTCAAATGTAAGTCCTATGTACATGTATAATGTTAAAATTGGATCATAAAATGATTAATTTCTTTTACAGTTGGGTGCAGGAAATGATAATATTAAGGCAAACGTCACATGTGCATGCTACAATTATAATGGTTCAGGTATGTAAACATTTATATATCGAGGGTTGACTGCAAAACTGCTGTAACTTTTATAAGATAAAGAAGGACTTACAACTGTAATGTAGTCAACCCTCAATCTTAATCCTTATATTCATTTAGTAATAATAGTAATTTATGGATGTCAAGTGCTTTATGAAATCTTTTACATGAAGAGTGACAATAAATTGTAAATAAGCGGCTTTTCCCCTTAGAAGTTTATTTGATATTCCTGCTTGTCCCTTATCTTTTTAATTAAGGTACTGTTTAAACTATTGGCCATAGTCTAGAATATTGAATTTCTATTAATATCGTTCAGGATATATCATTTGCATTTAAATTATAAATAGAGTGGAGCAGTCTTTAAAAATTAATTAGTTTTTAGCTCGACTTTTCTATGAAAAGGGGAGCTATCCTACTCGCCCCGGCGTCGGCGTCGGCGTCACACCTTGGTTAAGTTTTTCGTACCACCCCACTTTATTTCAGAAGTATTACAAGTATGGCTTTGAAACTTACCATACTTGTTCACCATCATAACCTCCATCTACAGACAAGAGTACATAACTCTGTCAAGGTTTTTGACAGAATTATGGCCCTTTTTTGACTTAGAAAGTGTATTGAGCTTGGTTAAGTTTTTTGTACCACCTCACTTTATTTCAAAACCATTGGAGGTATTGCTTTGAAACTGACCATACTTGTTTACCATCACGACCTTCATCAACAGACAAGAGGACATAACTCTGTCAAGGTTTTTTGACAGAATTATGCCCCTTTTTGACTTAGAAAATACATTGAATATGGGTAAAATCCACTTATTGCCTTAACCCTTTGAGATATTGCTTTGAAACTTTTAATGCTATTTCACATCATTACCCCCATCTGTACGCAAGAGAAGGTAACTCTGTCAAGGATTTGTTTTAAAAATTAAGGCCTTTTATCGACTTAGAATCTTGGTTAAGTTTTTAGTACCAGTCCACTTTTTGACTGAACTGTTTGAGATATTAATTTGAAAGTTGGAATACTTGTTTACAATCATGATTCCCAAACATGTCCAGGAGAAGGTAATTCTGTCAAAGATTTTATTTGAATTATGGCCCTTAACTGTCAATGTTTTGTATTATAGGCAAGCACTAAAAAACTTAAAAAATCTAAAAAAATTCATTCCTATCCACTGAACCTGCAGTGTTCAAGGGTATCACACAATTCAGTAAAATAATTCTTCACTAAATATCTTAATGCTCATGGCCATTGTTCACTTTAAAAATACAGAGATTCTTGTATTGCCTTTTACTGCAAAAACTTTTTTTATTGGCAAGCAATAAAAAAGTCGAGCGCGCTGTCTTACGGACAGCTCTTGTTATATTTTATCCTAAACATTTTCTGGTTTCAGTTATTGGCCAATCACCTTAAAAATAGTCAATCTTTTTAAAATATTTAAATTATTCAGCTCGACTTGACAGTGAGGTAATGAGCATAATGTCACTTTAAACTAACAACTGACTGTTCCAAATTTCAAAAATGACAAAGTCTATTACACAAATTAAGTACCTATGGGTTAGTCTTATTCTACTCTGGACTCAAATGGGTCACATTTTAAAGTGATTTCATAGCAATTTGATTAAAATCAGCTCTTAAATAACACTACGCATTAGGATCTGACGATCACCAATATGTTCTCACCTCTGACTATATTTTGATACTTTGTCTAATGCCTATCTGTACAGAACTGTTAGATTGCATGGCTCAAAATAGCTTTCTTAGGAAATCCGTATCACTATGAAGGCAAAGCATATACATTGGTAATCAGATCTACATGGTAGAAAAAAGTAGATAATTTTTGAGCCGAGTCACGACAAAAGCAACATAATGGGTTTGCGACAAGCATGGATCCACACCAGCCTGCGCATCCCTCGCAGTCTGATCAGGATCCATGCTGTTCACTATCAGTTTCTCTACTTGTAATAGGGTTTGTAAGCGAACAGCATGGATCCTGATCAGACTGCGCGTTCCGCGCAGGCTGGTCTGGATCCATGCTGGTCGCAAACCCATTATGTTGGTTTTGTCATGACGCGGCTATTATGAACATCAGTCAGATTGATTTTCTCGAGTAGATTTTATTACAACAACAGGTGCATATTTTATAAGCTGATGTTTATGATTTTATTTTCCTCGCAGAGATACTGGGTACCTACAATGATGAAGATATTTACCTGTTTAATAACCAAGAAGGGGACACGGCTAAATATTTACACAGATACCGAGGTCACAGAAATAACCAGACCGTGAAAGGCGTCAACTTCTACGGCCCGGAGAGCGAGTTTATAGTCAGTGGGAGCGACTGCGGACATATTTTCCTGTGGGATAAGGCCACAGAGAATATTGTACAGTTTATGGAAGGAGATGAGGGCGGAGTTGTAAGTTTTCCCAAGATACATTGAAGTATTTTTGATTCACATGTGAAAACATACATATTGAAATAAGATATAATATTGCAAAAGTATAGAGATGTCAGACAGTGCTTGAATTTTTGCATGGAGAGGCACTCTTCTGGTCTTACTTGACCAATAAAGTCACAATATGACTTCTATAGTGTCTTTTTGGCTTTTTGGTTTTAAAATAACAGTACAGCCTTTGGCTTTCTTTAAATGAATTGGAAATAACTTTCAGAAGATTTAACATATTTGAAAGTTATATAATACCCACATTAAAAAAAGTGAATATCTTGTTTTGCCCTTTGATTATAAGAGCTAAGAACCTAAGAAGCATATAGGTTTTTAAATGGATTAATATTGAATGGGGAGTAATGGCCTAATGGTCAAAGTGCCTCTCAACCCAGGGATCATGGGTTTAAATCCTACTTTGGCACAACCGTGTTTCTTCATCTGGTACTGGTTGGTGAAGCACACTCAAAAGGTGATTAATATAAGCTGCAAGAACTCATTTCGCAATCAAGCTTACATAAATATGTTTGAACTAATATAGAATAATTATCTTACATAAAAAAGGGATATGCATTTTGTATGGTAAATTTTTTTCAGATAAATGTTTTGGAACCACACCCGTATGCTCCGATTTTAGCAACAAGTGGACTGGATCATGATGTGAAAATCTGGGCACCTACGGCAGAAAATCCAACCAATCTGAAAGGCCTCAAAAAGGTATGTCATAATGATAACATAGTTTATGTAGGTTTCAATTAAAAAAACTGTGACCAAGAGGAAAATGTTATTGACCATATATTACTTTCCGTTTTCCAACGTAGGTTTGAATCTTAATAGGAATACTATATTCCTTCATGTTAGAAAGTTATCCACCAAGGTGGTAGAAGAAATTTCTTCCCAGGTACCTGCTTGTGTATAGTATAATGCATTGAGAGGCTGATAGAGTCCTTTTCTACCTTTCACCATTAAAAGCTTATAAGCCATCATGTAATAATACAAGACAATAAAAACAATAATAAAAAGAACACTTATTATATGACATGAAATATATTGAACTGTACTTGTTTTGGGCTTAATTGAATCTGATGATATCCTAAAAGAATTGCATCCTTAGCCCTTTTTTTTTGTGGGGGGGAGGGGGGGGCTGACATTAAAAAAACAACCATGAAACATAAATTTAAAAAAAGGCTTAAAGTGAATCAACATGGGGCATAAAATACAATTGCAATTCATTGCAATTAATACTCTTTCTATACTTGCCAAAAACGATTTTCAAGTCTACATAATTATAGTGGTGTGTCAATATATGCATCTTTCACATTTACTGTTTTATCGTTTTGTTGTGTCGCCTCTACGGAGTAGTGGCGACATATAGGGATCACTTCTCCGTCGTCTGTCCGTCTGTCTGTCCGTCTGTCCGTCACAAAACTTGTCCGGACTACTCCTCATAAACTACTGGTGCAATTTCATCCAAACTTTACAGGAATGATCAGTACCAAGTCTAGTTGTGCATATTGTCAGCATTTTCCGGTTCAATGATTTTTGGCAGAGTTATGGCCCTTTAATAATTTTTAATTTTAAAGTTTGTCCGGACTACTTCTCTTATACCACTAAAGCAATTTCAATGAAACTTTACAGGATTGATCTGTAGCTCAAGTCCTTGCGCATATTGCAAGGGTTTTCCGGTTGAATGATTTTTGGTCGAGTTATGGCCCTTTGATAAAAAAGGTGTATTTTTCTGTGTGTTGCCAGATACACAAAAGCTTGTCCGGACTACTCCTCATAAACTACTGGTGCAATTTCATCTAAACTTTACAGGAATGATCAGTACCAAGGGTAGTTGTGCATATTATCAGCATTTTCCGGTTCAATGATTTTTGTCAGAGTTATGGCCCTTTAATAATTTTTATTTTTAAAGTTTGTCCGGACTACTTCTCTTATACCACTAAAGCAATTTCAATGAAACTTTACAGGATTGATCTGTAGCTCAAGTCCTTGCGCATATTGCAAGGGTTTTCCAGTTGAATGATTTTTGGCCGAGTTATGGCCCTTTGATAAAAAGGTGTTTTTTCTGTGTGTTGCCAGATACGCAAAAGCTTGTCCGGACTACTCCTCATAAACTACTGGTGCAATTTTATCCAAACTTTACAGGAATGATCAGTACCAAGTCTAGTTGTGCACTGTCCGTCTGTCTGTCCGTCTGTCTGTCCGTCTGTCACAAACTTTGTCCCAACATGAAATTGGCCATCATGAGGCGACACATGTGATTACTGATCGCTCTTGTTTTTAGATAAGTCCAAGCATTGTTTGGGAACATTAATCATACAAATACGACTTTTTAGCCACAGAGTTGAGAAGCTTAAAGCCTTTTTTAGGTGAAAATTTAAGGTGATAATGTGTTGTTTTGTTTTTAGTTAATAAAACGTAACTCCAGAGAACGTGAAGAAGAGCGTACAAATGATGGAGGAATGATTGATGGTTCTATGCTGTGGTTTATTATGCATCACTTAAGACGGGGGCGAAGGCAGAGAGCTCGCGAAGCTCGTGCCGCTAGAGGAGAACCATCTCCCGACGTTGAGACGTCGGACACACTCAGCGACGAAGATCTATCGACTGATGACGAGTCTGAAAGTGAAGGGGAAGGCGAACCACGTGATGCAATCTCATGTAACCCATCGTAAAAAGTTTACAATATTGTGTCAAAATCAGAGTGCACGTTTATTTCTCCACTTTACGATATATATTGATCTGTATAAAATCTTTTGGGGGAAAACCATCTTTGCAGATATGTTGACCACATGTGTAGCAGTTTTACTGACATTTTCAAAAGCAAAAAGATACAAGAGCCAGCGAATGTTGCACAATTACGATCATTATGTTTAGTCAGAAAATTTCATGTTAAATGTTCATATTGTATTGCGCTAACTTTGACGTGCTTGCTAAAAAATAAGCGTCATCTCATCAAGGATTGTATGATTAATATGTTATGGGTTGAATAGTTTATCGCGATGATAAATCTTGCCTGTTTAATCTATCACTATGTTATGATTTTGGTTCTGGGTAAAAATTTGATTCATCATCTGACTTAATAGCTTTCTGCCTAATTCTTTGATGGTACAGAATTAACATTCAAATGTTTTTTGTTTGCTATGTAGTTACATAATTGTTTTATACTTTGACATAATAGAATTGACATACTTTAAGGTATAGAGTTAACATGTTATTTAACCAAACATACTTTGTTTTTGTATATATAAAATAGATGATGTATATAATATTTGATAACATTTTGATTCATGTTACTTAATTGTATGTGCACAAGTTAAAAAAAACAAGAATAAATGACAGATTTTTTGTTGATTGCTGAGCTGAATTGCTACTGTCAGATTCATAAATCTTTTTATTCTGAATTTTGAATAAGCAGAAAGGGGTTGCATGTGTCAACTGATTGGACTATACCTCAAAACAAGTTATCAAGTTTGATTTATTCTGGTGGCTGACAGTAATTCAGATAAGTGTTCAGTAAGGTGGTTGCTTTGATACTGTTTGAGAATTGGTACTATTTTTAGAAGAATGGGTACTATTTTTAGAAGAATTGATAATGTATTTAGAAAAATTGGTACAATTTTGAGAAGTTCTAGCCGAGACTGAATGCTGTGAAACAAATATTATATCTTCTATGGTCGTGATTGGGAGGTTTTATTATATATCTTGTTTGTCCTTGGAACTTAACATAGTTATTAATGTACAATGTAGGCCTAATTGTTTAGGTGTCTGCATTTGAACCGCGTCATGATAAAACCAACATAATGGGTTTGCGACCAGCATGGATCCAGACCAGCCTGCGCATCCGCAGTCTGATCAGGATCCAAGCTGTTAGCTATCAGTTTCTCTACTTGTTATAGGGTTTGTAAGCGAACAGCATGGATCCTGATCAGACTGCGCGGATGCGCAGGCTGGTCTGGATCCATGCTGGTCGCAAACCCATTATGTTGGTTTTGTCATGGCGTGTCTGCATTTTAACCCAGTCTGAGAGTTTGAGACCTTGTGGGTTCATCGTCATGTTTCCTTAGTGAAATCTAACATTGATTTGTTATAGGAAGCAGACCCGGCAACAGTTCAAATAAGTTTCAAGCTTTAATAACAAATAAAACATAAATAAATGTTTAATGAAAATTAAAACAAAAACCTTCCCTTAGTAGCTAAAACAGAATAGAATGAAGTCCTTGTTATAGCTGTACTTGAGTACCAATTGTGAAGTGAATTGAAAAAAAAAAGATTTTTTTTTTTATCATTTCATTTTGGTTGAAAAGTACAAAAGAAACGCAAATGAATTCAGTAAACCATTTGTCAATTGCAAACATGAAATAAACCCTGCTTTTAGTTAAACTTATTATTCAAAGAAGCGAGACACTTATGTGATTAATATTTCAGGTTCTTTAACCTAAAAGTCATGGGTTTGAGCCTCACAAATGGGGTCACAAATGGGTCTCCTAGCATATCGGTATAACTGGTTAGTCCAGGAAATCTATTTAAGAGTTAATTCAGTTAAATTCAAATGATTAAATGTAATTGAATGATCGCTGGAATGATAACATATTCTTTTTTGTTGTCTGAATTATAATTGCAAGATTCTTTCATGCATTAAAATTTTACTACCAGTTATGAAAAGTAAGTTACTTTCCTGGTAAAGCGAGGCCAGGTTTGTTGATTATATAACAGCTGTTGACAGATGGTTTATTTTAAAATCAAATTAAAGGGGTGATAAGCTGGGTGCACAAGTTTGGAGATTTTTACATTATGATCCAGTCCACTTGCTAAGGGGAGATTTTGTGTTATTTTTTAAATTAAATTTTTGAGAATTCTTTCCTTTAGTAAGTATATAACTTCAATGATTCAATCTGGATTTGAGTTGGGAAGCAGGCCTGTAGCCTTCTACATTTAAAACTGTAGTAAAAATGCTTTTATGACACCAAAATGATTTGGAATGTTTCAGGTTTTGACCTATCGTAGTAATATTTCATATTCTTGGATATTTGATATCTCCCAATTGACAAGGTTTATATTAGGACAATATTCATCTCTAAAAGCAACAATTTGATAGACTGGCTTTGAATTATTGTCTGAAATCTGACCAATGAGAAGTCTGCATTCAGAATCAATAACCATGTACATAAAGATAACAAAAAAATCTGTCTTGATGTATTTATATGCAAAACCTTTTTTTTCTGTTGATGAATCGTTGTTTTCTTTTACATAATTTTGTACATAATTTTGCCTTTTTGTTTAATAGTTGTTTACAAATGTCCTTGCAATCATTGTATGAACTGATTGATTTTGGTTCAGCCGTATTTGATTCAAAATTCATCAGTATCAATTTTTGTTTATAAAGTTCACTGAGCTGTTATGTTATAAACTATGAATTAATAAGTACAATACTAAAGTTTACCTAATTAGATAATTGAATAAATTATTATTCTTGTTACTGAAATAACTTATATTGTACATGTATATAATATATATGAATGGTTTGATCTCATTTGTAAATATAAACATGTTATACATGAATGTTGTAATCATGTCAAAATATGCATGTGTTTTTTCTTTCTTCCTTTTTTTGTCTCATATTTTTGCTTGAAAATTTGTTTAAATAATATGTTTAATTGCCATAAAGATTTAATTGACTTGTTATATTAAATTTCGTCATATGTGTATTTACTTTTACTTCATTACAGTATGTCTTGAATGTTGAATTTGAAGTGTTTTTGTGACCCATATGCATACCAATATGAGAAACAACAATTGAAAATATGGTCATAGATTTGTATCCTATAAGTAGATTGATTAAGGCATGATCACAGATTTGTATCCTATGAGTAAACTAAGTATGATCATATCCTTTGATTGAAATGATTAAATTATGATCATAGATTTGTTTACTATGAGGGAAATGATTAAATTATGATCATAGATTTGTTTACTATGAGGGAAATGATTAAATTATGATCATTTGTTTACTATGAGGGAAATGATTAAATTATGATCATAGATTTGTTTACTATGAGGGAAATGATTAAATCATGAGGATAGATTTGTATCCTATGAGTGAAATGATTAAATCATGATGATAAATTTATATCATATGAGGGAAATGATTGTAGAAATCATATTTGATTTGCATCCGATGAGTAAATACGGTCAAAGATATGCATCCTATTAGGAAACTGATTTTCATGATCATAGATATGTATCCAATGAGTGAAATGATTTCAGACATGATGATGGATATTTACCCTATGAGGGAAATTATCCCTATGAGAAACAATATTAGATTTGCACCCGATAAGTAAACTGAATTTAGACTTTGATCCTGTGGTAAACTGATTAAGGAAATCAAAGATTTTTGTTCTATGAGTAAACTGATTTAGGAAATCAAAGCTTTTTGTCCTATGAGTAAACTGATTAAAGACATTAGCATATATTTTTATCCTATGAGTTAGGTAACAAATGTAAAATGTCTTCATTAGTATGCATTTTACAAGGAACCCGATTTAAGGCACAGTCATGGATGTTTATAAGCTTTTTGTTCTAGTTTATTTCATTATTTTTTTCTCTCTCCCTTGACAGTTGCAATGTGTTGTTGTTAATGTGACTTGTGTTCAGACTGGTTCCTGATGTTTTATTGATGTCACAGCATAACATAACAAATGGTCACATCTAAGGCAGGGGGAAGTTAACTCTGAAATTGGAATGCTATAAAATATTGAAGGAAGTTTTAACTCTAAAATATATACTATAAAATATGAGAGAAAGTGAACTCTGAACTGGAATACTATGAAATACTGGAGGGATTTAACTCTGAAAATGGAATACTATAAAATATTGATACAGTTTTTTCAGTTTCACAGTTTTCAATCAATGGATTTATTGTACTTCAATACTGCTTGTATCTATGTCAAACACTTCCTCCGGAATGTAAATGAGCAGTCTTAAGTATGCTATAATTATATAGAAGATAGAAAACGAAGTTGTATGTAATCCTTCAAATTTTCCTTATGTAATGATGATGAGTCACATCCTGAATTTACAAAATAGTTTTTTATTTGTTTGGAGTAAATAATGTGACAATAAAAACTGAGTGTCACATGTAACACTCTACAACTTAGTTGCACATTGATGACCCTTTAAATTCTGAATTTATGTTAATGACCTGCCCTGATAGTCGAAAGTAATTTTTACAGTCTGACCAGGGTCTACTGACACTAAATCTTTATTTAGACTGGTTTAGACTGGACAGTTTTAAATCCAGAAGGTTAAAGTTTATAGTTTAATTATTGAACTAAAGTTGTAATTACTGAACAGGTGATATTTTTGAAAAACATTGAATTGATTTAGTTGGTATTTTGTTGTATAGACATGATGTAAATAATGTTAAACAAAGTTGAAGTTTTGACAATGTTCAAAGAACAAAAAGTAAAATATATTTACCAAAAACAAATGTTTTAGTGTTGTTATTGATTCAGTTTAAGAGTTTTGTCTGTTCAGCACACCATTTTGTCTGCCTGTCGGGTAACAAGTCAACCTAGCCCTTGTCGGTCCAACCCTCGGGCTCATCACATTGGGTTAGATACTGTTATAACTTTGAAAGGACATTTGTACTGTATACAGAAAGAACAAATCGCCGATTCAGTAATGGACAAAAACAAGTAGGCCTCCACTGGCCATTTTCCCGCCATAAAAGCTTTGTAGTTAAGTACATGTAGAACCTCCAAAATACTGCAATGAATAATCTGCTACAAAATAGGACAAATATTTTGTTTTACCTTTGACTACTGTAAATTGTGCTATTTCCGAAAATCACAAGGAGTACCAGCACTTTTTTCAAGCACTTTCATTAAAAATTCCCTCTCAGTTCGCATTGGTTCAAATTTGCATATGTTTTAGTACATTGTGGCAGTTGAAAGGATATTCAAAAAGAACAAATTTTCTTACGAGCTGTTGAAAAATCTAAGTTGGCCCTGGACCATTGAGGTCATATAATTGAATTTCGCCTTGACGGTATGAGCTCTGTTAATTATTTATGGATTTTATTAATACTTGGATAAAACAACCCTGATAAAAAAACCGGGTACTTGAATTATTCAAGTTTGCCATTGCTCTAAACATTAGTGACTGTCGAGGTAATATTGTAAAAATTGCGTTAATAATGATATCTGTGTTATTTGATATGACGGCAACACTTTATAAAAACATGGCATGGTTATTAATTCAAGTTCAACTTGTACAAAAGAAGTTTGTCTTTAGAAATGGGGGTAAATTCCACCCAGGCCTCGTCTTGAGGTGGCTCTTGTTATTGATGATTTAAAAAAACACCGCAGATCTTCATCACCAGTTTATTAAAAGTGAGGCCAGATCAGTGCATTTTAAAGAGAGTTGTGGCCCTTGATATGGACATACATTGTCTTGCCTGCATGATAACAAATTTTGTTTTTGATACTATTCAAAGTAGACTTGAACAGGACTTGCATATCAGTCTTGAAGCAATTTCACCTTATTGGTTACATGGGTATTAAGACATCATACACAAACCTCTATCAATACGTGGCATCTGTGGTAAATGGGGTTATGGACAAGGACATAGAGGCCAAGGAAAAATCCGCTTTACATTATTGGGTGATGCATTCAATAGTTTGAAAATCACGTGGAAATAATTGCTCAAAAGGGCCATTTTGTTCCCCTTGGGTTAACATTCTTATAGAGAACTTTTTATGGCATATCGGGAATAAAATAGTGTCAATATTCGGAATCTAATTTATTTACAATTGGAACTGTCTTCACATACAGTAAAGACGGGTTTCAAAAAGAAGAACTTGCCTCCTCGAGTAACTTTGTGCCATCAGCAGCACTTTGCAGTCTCATTTTTTATCACTTCCACGGACAGTGCGAGACAAAAATCTCACAAGTGAAAAAAATCATTGTACGTTGCTTGGTTAGCTTTTATTTTGATTGATAACAAGTCAAGGCGAAGTTAAGTTTGACAACGTCTTTAAGAATGTGAGAAAACGTACCAGCCAAACGTTAGAATTCTTAAGTAAGAAATTTTCATTTATGACGCTCAATTTTTCTGTACAGATGAATTTCCTGTTTATGCTCCTTTTTTTCATTTTCAAGTTGAGATATTATAGACATTTCGAAATCTTGACTGTTAAAATGGTGATTGGCCAACAGTTGATATTAGACAATGTTAAGGGTAATATATAATTCTGCCTTAAATATATTATAAATTGAATGTTACAGGTAAATGTCGAGGGATTTTTACATAAACTTTCGTAGACCGCATGATTTATTTATCATTCCTGCGCAGTTTATTACAATTTTAAAAGAAATTATGGCAAATGTAAACTTTTTTCTTCACTTTCACCTGTCCGCTTGGATGGGCATAATGTCACTATAAAGTCTCAAAACAAAGCTTATCAATTAATAGATAATAAATAAATAGAAGTACATTAAAGGTAGTCTTTCTTATTAACGAAAGTGAATTATGTTCAATGTCATGGTAAAACTGTTTTGTGTGTCTATTTAAATGTTCATCAAATGATACAAAATACTGTAATACAATAACGCAACTTACAGCAGCACACCCCCAGATTTATGCTTATTTTGAAGAAAATTTTGGAAATGTATTTAAAAGTAAAATATTGTGAGGTGAACAAATAAAGTCATTTACATATTGCATTTGGCACTTACAATCCAAGAAAATTACCAAAAAGTCATCAAAACATGCAAAATAGCCCTTACTACGTTAGTAACGCAGTAGAAATATGGTAAAAATACTACAAAACAGTCTTAAACCGCACATAACATAAAAATTATAACTTGGATCTTGAATGTTTTTACCTTTCTTAAGATTCCAGTACATTTTTCTCAAAATTGATTTTCTTGAAATATTTTGGTTCATCTGGAGGCGTGCAGCTTTAAACGCTTTCTCTGAAATCCGCTTAACCTGCTAAAGTTTTTGATTGACTATGCCAGTCTTTGAATTTGGAACAATCCATTCCAGGGAGTTCATTATCAAAATACAAAAATTGAACAACCAACAGAATAGAACCCGACAAACTACCCTGATAACCTAGCTAGCTCTATTCAGATGACAAAGTTTGATTACATTCGATTCCAGCAAATAATAAAAGGTTAAATAAATTATATTGTGTTACCTACACTTATACGATATATAATAAAATATTCGAAAATGATGTATACGAATATCAAAGTGTTTGTTTAATTATTTGAGTTAAGCGGAATTTAATAAAGTCGTAAACAAACTTATCAAATCCCAAGATTTTGATACAAGTTCTTTCCCACAAATAACTGCAAACTTACATTGGTGGATGAATACATTGAATACATTGAAACATTCAACATTTCGTGTTAATTAGAAACGAAAAGAATTATCACGTAATAAATTAGAAATAAACCTGTTGATGTCCATCGTACACCGTTTAATTTATGCATTTTTTTCGAACACTTAACCCTTAGAGACCTGTGCTCTTTTAATCATAATCTATCTGTCAAATATGTCAAATCTCAAATAAAGGCTCCGGGGAAAAAACAACTACATGCAATTGGTATGGCTTAAGATTCATAATTAAATTGAAAAGGAAAAGGATCGAAATTTAATTTATAAAGATATTCTCCTTTTGTCTAAAGTCTCAAAAGTTATAAGTTTATGCTGATATCGCCAGAAAATGCAGTGAAAGGTACTTATTTTCTTATCAAGAAATGCCGATTATAGTACATGTATATGTTAAATTGTTGCGATAAACTTTGCAAAGTGAATATTCTGTTGAGTGTAATGAACGGTAAGGTTAAAGTTATATTCTTAAATTTGTTTAATATGTTTAAATTATGTTTTAATCAGCTTAGCACTAGTATGCTTTCAAGTGATGAATTTGAATTTAGCTTTGACATTATATTAACTTAATTAATTCACCCTTTAAAACCTGCTGAAACCAAAAGTAATAAACAATTTCCTCCAGTTAAATGCCAGGCCAGCCTGCAAATTCGTGCAGGGTGATCAGGGTCTATTTGGCTGACCACTCCAAAAATTAATAAAAAAGGGAAACCAGACAAGTCGTTTAAGAAAACGAACGGTTGTTAATTATATTGCCTTAAACAGGTTAATAGTTGGAAAGCTAATATTAATTAGACCTAAGTGTTTCAGATGCGCCTGAATAGTGTATTATTATAGACGTTGAAATATGATTTTTTTCCAAATGTCTCAAGTTTTTTAGCTCACCTGAGCTAGCTCAGGGTGAGCTTTTAGGATCGTTGAATGTCCGTCGTCTGTCGTCCGTCCACACTTGTTCGTTAACACTCTAGCGGTCACATTTTTACCTCAATCATCATCAAGCTTTGTCGGGGTGCTTAGCTAGGTAATAGCTCGGATAAGGTCGAACATGGGTCATATCGGATGAAAAACTATGTCACAGGAGCAAAAAATAGGAAAACCTTGTTAACACTCTAGCGGTCACATTTTGCCTCAATCATCATCAAACTTTGTCAGAATGCTTTTCTAGGTAATTACTCGGATGAGTTCGAAATGGGTCATTTCGGATGAAAAACTAGGTCACAGGAGCTAAACATAGAAAAACCTTGTTAACACTCTAGTGGTCACATTTTTGATTCAATTATCATCAAACTTGGTCAGGATGCTTGTCCAGGTAATTGCTCGGATGAGTTTGAACAATGGGTCATCTCAGATGAAAAACTATGTCATAGGAGCTAAAAATTGAAAAACCTTGTTAACACTCTAGTGGTCACATTTTTGACTCAATTGTCATCAAACTTGGTCATGATGCTTTTCTAGGTAATTGCTCGGATGAGTTTGCCGGATGAAAAACAAGGTCACAGGAGCTAAAAATAGAAAATCTTGTTAACACCTAGTGGCTACTGTTTTGATCCAAATATCCTGTAAATTCGTCTGAAAGTTTGTTTTGATGATTTCTAGGTCAAGTTCGAACATTGGTCATCTCGGATGAAAAACTAAGTCGCACCGCCCAAATATGGAAAAACCTTGTTAACACTCAAGTGGTCACATTTTTGACTCACCTGTCATGGAACCTGGTCAGAATGCTTGTCTAGGTAATTGTTCGGATGGGTTCGAAGGGTCAGGTGAGCGATCTAGAGCCATCTTGGCCCTCTTGTTTAAATTTATGATCAGTACATGTGCTCGGATTGACAAATATACATTTTATTTGGATTTTAAAGGCGTTTTTAGCTCCCTATCTAAAATGTCTGTGGTTATTTGTTAAATAGTTTGGTGATGTAAATGAAAATTGTAGAATGATATTTGATATCTAAAAGGAATGTTTGTCAAAACAATAAAATAATGTTAGACCAGATATAATTGTTATTGTTTTATGATGATGATGATGATGATGATGATGATGATAATGTTGTTGTGTGTGTATGTGTGTGTCCGCACTCGTATGTAATATATTTGTTTTTACGAAGGTATTATCTTTATGTGTTACCTCCTTTAAACAAAGAGGTTTCTACGTTAGTTTTGAGGCTTCTTGCAATATAATCATCAGTTCAATATAATAATACATGTACGTATAAATATTTTATTTCTATCGTTTTTTTTTCAGGATCGTTTGTATTATTCTCTTTTGTCCTGACTGTGACAATAAATTGTAAGTATTGTATAGTAATATCCTACGGAATGCCGTTAGGGCCATTGCCTATGAATGTGTTGATCTGAAACGCGATAGTCGATAGTACGATGGTGAAAACGCGAAATCACGAAACTACGATGGTGAAAATGCGAAAGCACGATGATGAAAACGCGAAAGTACGATGATGAAAACGCGACAGTACGATACTACGATGATGAAAGCGCGATAAACTATCGTGTTTTCACCATCGTACTGTCGCGTTTTCACCATCGTAGTTTCGTGATTTCGCGTTTTCACCATCGTACTGTCGTGTTTTCATCATCGTACTATCGCGTTTTCACCATCGTACTATCGCGTTTTCACCATCGTACTATCGCGTTTTCATCATCGTACTGTCGTGTTTTCATCATCGTACTATCGCGTTTTCACCATCGTACTGTCGTGATTTCATCATCGTACTATCGCGTTTTCATCATCGTACTATCGCGTTTTCACCATCGTAGTTTCGTGATTTCGTGTTTTCACCATCGTACTATCGACTATCGCGTTTCAGATTAACACATTCATAGGCGATGGCCCTAACGGCATTCCGGAATGCCGTTAGGGCCATCGCCTATGAATGGTTTGATCTGAAACGCGATACTCGACAGTACGATGATGAAAACGCGAAATCACGAAACTACGATGGTGAAAACGCGACAGTACGATGGTGAAAACACGATAGTTTATCGCGTTTTCATCATCGTAGTGTCGTACTGTCGCGATTTCATCATCGTACTATCGCGTTTTCATCATCGTGCTTTCGCGTTTTCACCATCGTAGTTTCGTGATTTCGCGTTTTCACCATCGTACTATCGACTATCGCGTTTTAGATCAACACATTCATAGGCGATGGCCCTAACGGCATTCCGTAATATCCAGATTATGTCTTTGCAACTAAATATATGTGAGCTTCATTATTTTTTAAAACTACCTACAAGTAAATTAGGAGATGTTTATTTGAGGCAGTTTTATACCTCCGTTACCTATGCAATTCCATTAATACGTGTGCATGGTTTAATTAATAAACACTCAGCTATGTGATTTATATGATTTATACGAGTGGTTGTAGTCCCCGAGTATAAATCAGATTGCCGAGTGTTTTGATGTTCTTTCTCTTTTGTATCATAGTCAAAACTAATAAAAAACACCTTCCCTGATGTCACAATATGAAAACCCAGAAAAAATAACCAATGAACGAGCATCTGAATATGATATTTCTATGTATACGATTTAACATTTTCGGCAAATAAGTCCCCAAACTATAATCTAAATACTAGGGCTGGATGATACTATCGTGAATTTGAACTCGAACTGTGCACATTGCAATTCAAAATTAAAGGAACGTTTACTTGACATTACGGGACTGGAAATAAATGTTTTAGATTAATGTTCCATTTGATGAAGGTCTAGACCAATACCTTCAGTGCAATTTTGAGAGCATCAGCTTACTCCGTTTTTTTTCAGAATAATTATTCTAATCGTGAAAAAAAAAATGAAAATCGTTGCGATGCGTTTTGTTAAAATCGGCCTAAGAATATCACAAAAATAAGTGACGGTTCTTTTTTTTAATTAAAAGGGACGACAGCTTTACTGTGTTACTCATGCACGGATTTGAAAAGCAATGAGGAATGTTTTAATGTTACAACATGTCCCGATGGGGAGGTAAATTTTATATTGAAGTAAAATAATACAAATCTCATGGTTTTTATATACAGTATAACCTGTTTTATAATTGGCCTCTCCAAAATACAAGTTCTCTTTTCTTTTATTGAAACAGTTTATGTCAAAAGTACTTATATGCGTTTCGAACTATAGTCCTCTATTTATATAATATAAAAATCTAAGTTTTCTTTATATAAAAATAAAAGAATGTGTATTTGTAAAAACACAATTGCCTTTTTGTTGTTTTTAAAAGTTACTTATTAATTATCAACAATTAATGAAACTTCAAATATCTTTAATTTCAAAAATAATAAATCAATAAATGAATAAATAAGTAAATAAATAAATAAATAAAAATGAATTGAAATTTGGGCTTTTTCTGTTCTTATTATGCTTGAATTTATGCTTAAATTAATCTATCATAGATAGGCTATTTTAATCGTATTTTTCTTTCAACAGTTATGTTACGGGAGAGAAGATGGCTTTGGATCAGGGGAAGTGAAACACACTACTGGATGTACGAAGGAACTTGTAATGAAATCAGACTTTAACATAGTTTGTTACAATAACAATTTACAAATTAATTTGCTGTTATTTGCAATCACAAAAATTACAGAAATTTTAGGTTTGGCAAAAAGCGGTTATCTTTTGTCCTATTTTATCTAATTTCATCTGGCATATGTTATACCATGTCAAGGAGTTGTCCCGATCCAAATTTTTAAATCGAACAGCCGACGAAAACAGTAAGTTTAGCTTTCTTTTAGAATAATGCAAAAATATTCTTTTCAAAACGAGTAACAGATTCTTAAGCGCCTCTCTGCTATGCATCTGCACAATAACATGTATGTGCTCGTACCATTGCAGACTGGCCATTATTGTTTCTAATGTTAACCCTGGTAAAAAAATATGTTATCATTTTACTCGCCAGTTTGAAGTAATAATATGAAAGTTAAGTTATGATTTGTCCATATTTTCCTAAAAATCAATTTTGTTTCATTAAGAATTGTTGTTGTTGTTGTTGTTGTCTTACAGAAGCCTATAAAAAGACAGGATTCAACAGGTTTTACATTCTGTGCCAAGTCATGCCAAGGAGATTTATGTAATTTAAGAAGCTGTCAACTAGGTAACCATTTTAAAAGTTGCATTATTTTCTTTTGCATCAACCGTGCATAGGGCTATATGTTTATGTTGAACTTGGGTTAAAATTATGTTCCATTCAAAATTTAAGTATCCAAAGGCAAAAATGCATTACTACTAATTGCAAATTTTACAATGTTTCAATCCCTCCCTGTTAACACGTAACCAAAGTTCTGATAATAATAAAATTTCAATTAAAAGTTAACCATCGTATAGTCAATACATTTCTGCAAATTTTGATACCAAATATGCACATTTTTGCGTAATTAAGTATACAAAATTACGCACCCTTTCTTTTGCAACTCACTTTACATTAAGGTATGCATAATACTGAATGTGTATGCATGTATTTTTTTAGGTAACACTACGAGACCACCGCGTTGTTTGTCATGTGTTTTTGTTAACTCACCCCAAGATTGTCAAAATATAGTTGAATGTAAAGCCAACGAGGTACATACATTTTTAGTTATCTTTTTTTTTTTTTAGATAAGCGGTGCTGCATTTTGTTGAGTTTTCAGCACTGTAACTTTCAGCTCCTTTGCATTATTTCTAATATTTCAACGTTTCGTAAGCATGTAGAGGTTTATAATAGCGACATGTTTAAGCATTAACAAGAATAATATGTTGTAACACCCGATGTAGTGCATGTGACTGATATATAAATGATACACTTAAACGTCGTAAGTGTAACGCCAATTTAGAATTGTGGCGAATCATTTTCAAAGGCAGTGTCAAACAGTGCCCAAACCTATATGACATTAATAAAGTCGCATTCCCATGATAAATTGGCAATACAATTTTATGATGTTAATATGATAAACACTTAATGTGTCCTGAATACTCCCCCCACGAAGTCTCAATTGATCAAAAAAAATAATCATTGGAAAGTAAATAAGTATATATACCTACAATGTATATATAGAGGACGGGATCGATCTATTTATGTTGTTGTTTCAGGTATGCTATACAGAAAAGTACACTACATTTCAAAACACAAAGTACAGATTTGGTTGTGTCAGTAAAATGGTAATATCTTAATTCATGGACGTCCGTGTTTATCAAATTTGTAATTACACACGGAAAACAAATGTTGTGTCACGTAAAGGGCTAGGAATCATAACTGCGCTATTTCCATCATTTTCAATTTATAAACAAAAGCCAGCAGGCTTTCGTAATTAGGCTTCCGTACAATTCAACTGAGTGCATATGATTTAAACAATGTCGAGTCAGGACTGTGTGGTACCCTATATTTTGTAAACAAAAGTCGCCACCTAAAACGGCAAAATCTATGTTTTGTGCGGTACTTTTTTCTATCTGATAATAAGACGTAGTGTAATACTTGCTTTATTTAATATTAAAAAAAATTAAAATCAAGAAGAAAACAATTACATTCCCTGTATTTTATAGGACTGTGACGAGCACCCAGTTGCCTCTACCACCACAATAATAGGTAGGAGAAGTGGCACCGACAAATGTTCCGTCTGCTGCAAGAATGATCATTGTAACATAAATGCTTGTAGTCAACAAACCAAAGGTTCGTGTTTATTATTTTTGAAATATGAAGAGATTTTAGATATTGGGCGACTTCACTTAAACACGACAGGAAAAGATCGTCATTTTCGTATACATGCATTTTTTAGTCTTTGTAAATTTAATGTAATTTGCACATCGCTATTTCAAGCTTAAGGCAATTGGAAACACCTTGAAATACATTATCATAAAACGATTGTGGCACTTCAGTTTTTTTTTAAAAAAGGTCAGATGGTGCAAGATCTTGTATTTAAGGGACACCTGGTATATCTTACTATTAAGATCCACATATGTTAGCATCTGATACCGGTGTTGTGAACGATGGAATATTGTCTCACAGCAAAACAATTTTGCCTCTCGTTGTTTTTAGTATAAATTGCTACTTTGTTTGCCCCACACTTCTGTTGTACAGATGATTAACTGCTTTGCAAAAGAATCCATCGTGTATTTACAAAAAATGAAAAAAATGATGATTATTATAATGATGGTATTGATTATGATGGTAAAGAGGTGATGAAGACGATACGTTAATGATGATGGTGGTAGTGATGATGGTGTTAATGATGATGGTGGTAATGATGATGGTGTTTATGATGATGTTGAAATGATTATGGTGGTAATAATAATGGTGATATAAATGTGATGATGGTGTTAATATAGTGGTGATAATGTTGAAGGTGTGAATGATGATGGTGATAATTATGATGCTGTTAATGATGATGGTGTTAATGATGATGGTGATAATGTGATGGTGATAATATTGATGGTGATTATGTCGATGGTGTTAATGATGATGATAATTGTGACATAATGATGACAAAGATAATGATGATGGTGATAATGATGATAGTGATAATATTGTTTGTGTTAATGATAATGTTGATAATGATGATGGCGTTAATGATGATGGTATTAATGATGACGGTGTTAACGATGATGGTGATAATGTTGATGGTGACACAATGTTGATGGTGTTTATGTTGATGGTGTTAATGTTGATGGTGACACAATGTTGATGGTGATAATGTTGATGGTGACACAATGTTGATAGTGTTAATGTTGATGATGACACAATGTTGATGGTGTTAATGTTGATGGTGACACAATGTTGATGGTGTTAATGTTGATGGTGACACAATGTTGATGGTGTTAATGTTGATGGTGACACAATGTTGATGGTGTTAATGATGATGGTGACACAATGTTGATGGTGTTAATGTTGATGTTGACACAATGTTGATGGTGTTAATGTTGATGGTGACACAATGTTGATGGTGATAATGTTGATGGTGACACAATGTTGATGGTGTTAATGTTGATGGTGACACAATAATGATGGTGTTAATGTTGATGGTGACACAATGATGAGGTGTTAATGTTGATGGTGTTAATGTTGATGGTGACACATTGTTGATGGTGACACAATGTTGATGGTGACACAATGTTGATGGTGACACAATGTTGATGGTAATAATGTTTGATGATGACACAATGTTGATGGTGACACAATGTTGATGGTGACACAAAGTTGAGGTGTTAATGTTGATGGTGACACAATGTTGATGGTGTTAATGTTGATGGTGACACAATGATAATGGTGTTAATGTTGATGGTGTTAATGTTGATGGTGACACAATGTTGATGGTGATAATGTTGATGGTGACACAATGTTGATTGTGACACAATGTTGATGGTGACACAATGTTGATGGTGACACAATGTTGATGGTGTTAATGTTGATGGTGACACAATGATGATGGTGTTAATGTTGATGGTGTTAATGTTGATGGTGACACAATGTTGATGGTGTTAATGTTGATGGTGACACAATGATAATGGTGTTAATGTTGATGGTGACACAATGTTGATGGTGAACACAATGTTGATGGTGTTAATGTAGATGGTGACACAATGTTGATAGTGACACAATGTTGATGGTGACACAATGTTGACGGTGACACAATGTTGATGGTGACACAATGTTGATGGTGACACAATCTTGATTGTGACACAATGTTGATGGTATTAATGATGATAGTAATGAAGATGATGGTGATAATGTTGATGGTGATAATGATGATGGTGACACAATGATGATGGTGTTAATGTTGATGGTGACACAAGTTTGATAGTGATAATGTTGATGGTGACACAATGTTGATGGTGATAATGTTGATGGTGTTAATGTTGATGGTGTTAATGTTGATGGTGTTAATGTTGATGGTGACACAATGTTGATGATGACACAATGTTGATGGTGACACAATTTTGATGGTGATAATGTTGATGGTGACACAATGTTGATGGTGTTAATGTTGATGGTGTTAATGTTGATGGTGACACAATGTTGATGGTGACACAATGTTGATGGTGACACAATGTTGATGGTGTTAATGATGATGGTATTAATGATGATAGTAATGAAGATGATGGTGATAATGTTGATGGTGATAATGTTGATGGTGTTACGTACATGGTGTTTATGATGATGGTGATAATGATTATGTTGATCATGTGATGGTGGTCATAATGATGATGTTAATGATGATGGTGTAAATGATGATGGTGATCATGATGGTGGTGTTAATGGGGATGGTGATAATATTGATGGTGTTTATGATGATGGTGATAATGATGATGGTGATCATGTGATAGTGTAAATGATGATGGTGATCATAATGATTGTGTTAATGGTGATGGTGTAAATGATGATGGTGATAATGTTGAAGGTGTTAATGATGGTGGTGGAAATGATGATGGAGATCATGAGGATGGTGTTGATGATAATGGTGGTAATGATGAATCAATAAATAGTTAACTAAATATTTGTACTATTTTCTATTATTTTTTTTATTTATTGTTATTGAACCTTCAATAAAAAATACATTGATAAATCAAATGTGCATAGATCAACTAGTTTGGATGTCATTCGCCCAAGGATTTTTTACGTAAAGTACGGTGGTGACCACTGACCACATCACGACCATAAAGTAAACCCAAGCAACTACAAGCCTACAATATCCAAAGCATTTGAAAGACACATGAATAGTACATCGAATACATTGTACAATCTTCTTTAAGAAAACAAACATCATTCATAAAACTCAACCAGTGTTGACCGTACAATGCATGTCACCAGGCACTAATGCGACTATAATTAATAAGCATGGCTACAAGATACAGATTCTGGTAAATATTGATGGCAAGCAATTATATGTACAAGAAAAAGAAAACGTAAAAAATACAAAAAATATTAGGCGTTTACATAAATAACACTTTGTTCTGGAATTGCCAGTTACAAAATAAACTCAGAAAAAGCATTATTGAGGGTATATCTGAATTTTTGACCAGTTACTTTATAATGCACACACAATATTGAATCAATGGAAATTTCATGTCTTTAAATGAAATAGTTTAAATACTGCGGTTTGATGATGTTGATTTTTGAGGGGTTTTATTTTACATTTGTTCAGTATGTCCCATTTAAGAAAGTTAAGTTAAGAACAATTATATTTGGGTTTCTTTTACCGTGGTGTATTTTCATGTGTTACATTCTTAAGATAAAGATTTTATTGTTTTTATTATTACATGTATATTATATTATTATCTTGCGTTAGTCAGACAAAATAATTCTAAACCAAAAGATATAACTACATTGAATTTTTTTTTAAATGGACGCCCAGAATGTTTTACTGTGTGTGTTTTGACTTGGATGGAAGAATTAACCCGTGTCTTATTCTTGTTTTATCTGGAAATCGCCTAAAAGGGTTTTTCTCTGCTATCAGATTTCGAGGAATCTAAAGACAGTGAGGTTATCCCCGGATTTAAGTAATTATAACACTTGCGTATGTTTTTCATAAAAAGAAATTTATTTGCAGATAACATCACATATTATCTACATGTAGTAATTCTTGTAACTATTTAGGACCAGTGTTTCATCTTAAATCATTGTCCGCTGGAGTTCCATGTACAGATACAGACACTGTATTGTGTTCCGCGCTTGGTAGACTAAACACAGATGCGTGCAAAGAGTCTTCTGTTTTCAAACTGTGCCTGAAGTCTTGTGAAGCATGCGGTAATTCATAAATATATATATATAATGTATACCCATATATAAGGTTTTATTTGCAGAAATAGTTGAAAATTCGTTACGTCTACTTCCTCTCTCCAAGAAATGAAGAAATAGATCATAAATTATATCATTACGACGAATAGAAAGTAATAAAGTCATTACACAATACTTACCAATGCATAGATCCCTGACCTCTATAATGATCAGATTAGTGAAAACAATAGGAGTTTCACCACAACCTCTTTCTTAACAAAAAAGTACATGTCAATGATTGTTTACAAGTCTTGTTATTAAAATAAAAGTTAAGAGTAGGTATGGAACGCCGTGACTGTCTAATGTGATCAATGTTTTGTCTATTTTGTGAAACGATGATATAATTTTGACGTTTGAGCATGTTAACATGTGCAATTCACATCATGTCTTGTCAAAGTAGCATGTTGACTTGTTCAAACACCTTGCTAACATGTCTAATTATCATGATGACATGTCCAGACAACATGTTAATCTGTCAAAATATCCTGATGACATGTGCAAACAAAATGTTAACTTGTCAAAGTATCATGATGACTTGTGCAAGTGACATGTTAACTTGTCAACGTATCGTTATGACTTGGCAAACAGCATGTTAACTTGTCGAATTATATTGATGTCTTGTGCAAACAGCATGTTAATTAAGTTGTCGAATTATCTTGATGTCTTGTGCAAAGAACGTGTAAACTTGTCAAAGTATCATGACGACTTGTCCAAACAACATGTTGACCTGTCAAATTATCATGATGACTTTTGGAAATATCGTGCTAACTTGTCAAAATTTCATGATGACATGTGCAAACAGTATGTTAACTTGTCGAATTCTTGTGATGACATGTGCAAAGAACATGTTAACTTGTCAAAGTATCATGATAACTTTTGCAAATAACATGTTAACTTGTCAAAGTATCATGATGACTTGTGCAAATAACATGTTAACTTGTCAAAGTATCATAATGACTTGTAAAAACAGTATGTTAACTTGTCGAATCCTTGTGATGACATGTGCAAAGAACATGTTAACTTGTCAAAGTATCATGATAACTTGTGCAAATAACATGTTAACTTGTCAAAGTATCATAATGACATGTGCAAACAGTATGTTAACTTGTCGAATTCTTGTGATGACATGTGCAAACAGTATGTTAACTTGTCAAAGTATCATGATAACTTGTGCAAATAACATGTTAACTTGCCAAAGTATCATAATGACATGTGCAAACAGTATGTTAACTTGTCGAATTCTTGTGATGACATGTGCAAAGAACATGTTAACTTGTCAAAGTATCATGATAACTTTTGCAAACGACATGTTAACTTGATCAAAATTTTTTTCTTTTAA